TTAAAAAAAAACGTCTTTACGACTTATTTTCTGAACTACGAAACATGCATACTTTAAACCACTGCTGCAGGTTTTTAAAACTCTTTAAAAAGCACAAAACCATTCACACAAAAATTTCAGGACAACATTAGACCTAATATTCATGGATTGAGTCAAATGCATTAAAGTAGAACTTCTTTCAGTGTTTTTAGGTCACTATGTTGTTTATATCAAGTAACAAAATAATTATTTACAAAATGAATAACTAATAACTATTAGTTTGTTTGTATTTTAAACATCACATTTTAAATTATTGTATTCATCATTTTTATTTAATTTTACACCACTGATGCATTTTCATTAGCTACTGTCGTCCATTCTACTGCAGTTTTACGTAACCTCCAGGCTTTCACACAAAGAGAAACTGCTGCCTTCACTCCTGTAACACATCAGGTTATACAACATGTGTATTGCAGTTTTCCTAACTTTATCAAACAGCTAATTATCAAGTTTAATGGAGCTCTTTTCACATTTTTCATTAAAAACGCACTGATACTGCTGGTGGCAAAACAGTTTAAGGCAGAATGCATGCAACTATCTTTCTTTGGGAAAAAAAAAAAAAAAAAGACTTTTGATTCAACTGCAGTTAAGAGAAGAAGAAGATAATTTTGGCCTTAAAATAATGTTAGGAAAAATTCAGCATAATGTTAGTAAGGCAGATATATATTGCATATATGAGAGCCTGTTTGAATGGATTTTTAAGGATACATGACTTCTGGTGGGTGAACCAAACCTGCAGCATAACAGACAGCCGCTAACTATGGAGCTGGGTTTAAATATTTCATTAACATTTAAAGCAATAACAAAAAGTAAAATTACAACAGTGCCATCCTCAAGGCATCAGAAGGAACTGAGAAGCCCCAAAATGTACACTTAAATAATGTTTCCAGTGTTTTATACTACTGTTTGTGCTTGGAAAAAGGTGAATTTAGAAAAGCAGTTCTTTAAATACTGAAAAGACAATTAAAATATTGCATCATATTTGCCTTAATCTAATAAAACGAACCACTAAACAAGTATAATTTTAGAAGAATTGTGACCTTTAGAACCATTATTTTACTAAAAAAGAAAAAAAAAAGAAAAAAAAAAAGTATTTATTTTTTATTTTCCTAACCTCCATTTTTTTTAAATACCTCAACTGTCTCTTGGTTGTGTCTTCATGTTGTCTACACTCTCCTCTCCTCCTCGGCACTACTAGGCATTGTGGGTAAACAGCTAGATTAGCCAATCAATCTTCTCTCGGGAACAGAGGTAGTAGTGGTGGTGATGGGGGGGAGGAGGGGGTCAGGGCAGAGATAGGGAAGAGAGAGAGAGGGGAAAAGAGGAGGAGAGTTGGAGAGAGGGAGTGAGCGATAAGGCGATGGAGACGAGAGGGGGCGTGGGTGAAGGAGAGAGTAAGAGATATAGTAAGAGGGTGGGAGGAAAAAGGGGAGGGAGGGAGGAAAGATGCAGATGTGGAGGCGTCGCAGAGAACGGTACAGGCTGGAGTCACAAAAGCAAAGGAGAGGAAGAAAAGCTGGGGAAGGAGTGTGAGAGAAGTGATAAAGATAGGGAGATGTTTAAAGTGAAGAGCAACAGTGCAGGTAAAAATAGAGGAAGAGTGGAATTATGGAGCATCAACAACATAACTGCAGGTTGACACATCAGATTTAATACTCTACATGCACACAAAACCATTTCTAAATCTTTACAATGTATCTTGTTATGTTAAAGCACTCAGAAGTATGTGACTTCATGCAGTCAGATCTGTGTAGAGTGATGGGGACAATGCAAATTTCCTCACATGAATACGTAAAAAATAAACATGAATCAAATATTTTCATCCTGTTAACATAATTTTAGATTAAGTTTTGACTGGTGCTTTTTTTATGACATCAGCCTGTTCTTCTGCAATGGTTTAATGCCACCTCACTGGAGAATTAGTGCCACCAGCTGTTTATCTCAATAAGCACACCTAATGTTCATACAACAGAAGTGGATGAAAACATGCATTCATTCTATTAAAACTTGTGCTAAATTTAGATGGAAATATGCCTTATGATCTTTAGATTGTCTGATTGAAAGAGGTAAAGCTCAGGGTTTCCAACAGTGTATCAGAATGAAGGTGCCCCACCTCGACAAATGAAAGCCGCCTACACTAACGTCAGAAGAAATAAATACACTTTGATGAGATATATTAGCTTCATGGAAAACAATCAGAGATGCTGATTCACACAGCAAAGGCCACGTATTGAAGGGATGAGTCGACTGTTTAGAACACTAATTAGCACTGAAATTGATCCAGGATCTGGTTGGCACCACTGACCACTTCCATTAACCAATTTCCTGGGGGAAACCCAGAAAACTCTGTAGTATTTCAAAAATGTTTAAAACCTTTATGAGGCTACCGGGATTAAAGACTGATTAAACAATTAACACTGCTAATCAAACCAGCTAATTAACTGATGTATGGCATGGTGTTTGAATAACTTAACACAACTTGTTTTGTTGTCTATTAATGCAGCAGACAACATGCATGCCAGTTCAAATTAATGGCGCTAACTAGAAGACATGCAAGCACTGCAACACAACATGGACAGACAAAATGAACTCTTTGTCCTTATTACATCTGTTGGTGAAAGTATGCAATTCATAAAATGTGCCTTATCTTTTGTTTTCCTTACATCATCAAATTAAAATCACAATGAAATTCTAAAAACAAAATAAGACGAGTAAATTCTGTATTTAAAGACGCATTAAGCCATTTAAGCCTCAATTAAAAGCCTGTATGAACAGATCAATGAAAAAAAACAAAAATAATGTTATAAATCTGTGTAGGAGGGGAAATGCTAATTTCTACAAATGCTAAACACTGTAAGCCTGCCACTTCGGGGATTCAGATGCAATGATGAACCTAAAACTTGGCATAAACTACCAAGTAACTAATATAGCAGCCGCTGGATTACTTTAAATAACCAGTGTCAGGACTGTACTATAAAAGTAGCCCCGACTGTAACCACAAACCTTTGTTGCGCCCAGCAGAGAGAACTGTGATAATGCCTCTTAAATGCTGGCTTGCAATCTAGCAATCCTCAAAAGGCTAAGAAACTCTTTTGAGGTAAGGTGAAACATTGTTTTTTCTTCCGATGCCTCTACCCGGCTCATTCTTTTGAAACCAGTAGAAAGGACCTGTGCTCAGAGACTAGCCTCAGGGGGCTGGAGCCAAAATTAAACCGGTCCCGTCTCCTTCGCTTTATCACTGTTAGGAGCAGACAGCAAGCGACCATGTAACACACCCATCTACATTTATATAGTCTTACGCACACACATTTACACACAGGGTTAACTGGTACTCTGGCACTAAGGGTGTGAGCCCCTACACCCTCCTTCTATGGGCTGGTTGCCAAAGATGCCCCCCGTCCAAAAATACACACTCACACACACACACACAAATCCCTGGCTTAGCCTCGGCCCAGTGCTGGGATTACCGGATTAGAACTCTATTCCATTATCTCCACACACTATACAGCACACACACACACACGCACGCACACACGCACACAATGCCACACTGTCTTGGCCAGAGAGGACGCACAGTGTCAATCACAACACATGACATTTACACACAAGTGGATACAGTTACAGTTTGTCCCCTTAGTGGACAAAAAAACACTTATTTACAGTGTTATTAGGCTGTTACTAGTTGGACTATTTCTGCAGAAGACCTGAGCACCTGTGACAGCAAGCAGAAGCCTGCTGCTGAAGTGTCCTTGGGCAAGACACTGAATCCCTACAATCTCCAGAAAGGCTGTTTCCTAGATGCCCCTGACCTAAGAGAGCAAAGCCCCCTGTCTTTCAAGCACTCAAAAGGCAGCAACTAATTCCTCAAGGATGCACACAGAAAAAAAAAAAAACATGCCAAACTTAAAAGCTACACAATTCTGAGTAAAAATCACATTAAAAATGACACCAAGTATTATGATTTTCTCACTCAAGTAAAGTCAAGTCTATTTTATTTATAAAGTCATCAAAATGGAGATTATGATTTTATGAATACAGCACCTTTAAGGCTGGGAAATATGTGGTTCTGTGATAGTAAGTCAAAGCCAAAATCTTATAGGGAGACATCAACTACAACTCCCAAGCTGCATTTCGGTAGGAAACATCCAATCACAGATTTTATAATTCTGTTACATGCGTTGCTAACGGCAGACAGAAGCTAAAGAGAAAACTGAAAACACAATCTGCAACTTAAATTAGTCTACTTTTAGATACTTGATCTTTTTTTGGATGAATTCAGTGACTATAGTGCTACATTTTGAACTGAAATTAAGTGTTTTTGAATTCGCTACACCGACTAGCTTCTTCTCCATAGCAACGGTGGCCGAGGATCATGGGTATTGTTACTGTATTTATGCCAAACTGATGAACAAAAAATAATTTGGTTCAGTTATAGGTAAACTGTTTATCTTCAGGTTTTGTAGTACATTGTTGTAGTAGGTTTTGCAGGACTTTGGAGGACATCATCTTGAGCCTTGGGGAAGTGTGATGGACATTTTTCACTATACACCAAACAGTTAATCTACTAATTGAGAAAATAATCTGTAGATGAATTGATACAGAAACTAATCGTTAGTTACAGCCCTACTCCCTGCTAACACAAATAAGGCTGAATGACACAAATATGTGGCATGAATTTTAATTTGATTATTTGTGTAATTAAATGGTTTTTTCTTTACAGTACAGCTAACAATTTTATTCCCCGTCCTTGAGGTGCACATTATCTTCTACGTTCTCTTGTAGGTGCCACTTCCAAGATTTCCTTTTTACACTTTAACTCACTATTAAAATATGTACTGTGTTTACATGTGTGTCAAAAGCAGACATATAAAGAAACAAATACCTGATCCCACAGAGAGTAACAAGTGTTTTTTCTGCAAAAAAAGAAAAAGAAGAGGCTGCAGAGCCCATCTGTCACTTACATAGTCATGGAAGGCCTTTGCCTCACTGGAGTGCTCGCATGTCTCCCTTCGGTCTGGAGCCGCACAATACAAATCCCAGAATACGCTGAAATTGGGGGAGGGAGGGGGTTGGGAGGAGGAGAGGTCAAAGGTTACCAAACAGAGCAATACAAGCAAATGTATAACAGCTATTCATAAACCATTCGCACACTCTCACTATCTCCCTAGCGCTCTTAAACTGCCTCTTATACACTTGAGCATCACTGTAAGAGGGACACAATGCCAGAGTCGACCCCCTCAATCAACCTCTCACTCACTCAAACACACACACACACACACACACACACACACAGTGTTACCATACTTGCATTGACTGCATCCATTTCTTCACCCTAAACTTTAAGTGTTACACTGACTTAAGCCTAAACTTGATCTCTAAAATACACTCTTGTACAAGTTATGACTGGTAAACTGCCTCATCGTGAGGGAATTCGTTCATCATTTGATCCATAAAAGAAGGATCAACAACAAGAACTGAGTTTCTCTTTCTATTTGTCTATTTGAGCACAACAAGTGGAAAATCACAGACGCGCGCACACACACACACACACACACACGTGGTTAGGTCCAACGACAACGCTAACTGCCTGTGTGCTACCTGTCTAAGAGGTCTTAATTGAATCAGCCTTTGTGAATTGATTTAGTGGAAGTGTTATAAACCGAGTGAAACAGCGACATGGATAACGAAAGGACTAATCAGGCAGCCACTTCACATGTCCTGGCAATCTGCGACGCACACAGACATGTTCAATCCTAAACATCTAGAATGAGAAAGACAGACATATCTGGGAGGCTTACGACAGTCCCACAATGAAGTCACTAAGTCATTTTGAGCTGTTTGAGCACATTTAGTGGAATTGAAGTGATCTCAAAAGTTGACATATTACTTCCACGACAAGGACGGAGTGAATGGTTGAGCTACACAGGAGCACACACGATAACTGTTGTGTTGATCAAGGACACATCAACAGGGAGAACTGCTTAGAGGCTACTGGGCTTCGACTTCCACAAAACCATCTCCTTTTTCAGGACAAATCTAAATGAGGAGAGGAGAAACAAATCACGACTGGTTTGCCCTACAGTTAAAAGATGAAGTATGTATCAATAAGAGAAAAAAAAAATAGCACATGTTCAGCATCGGCCTATACTGAACAGTATAATTTTATACTATAGGCAAAGAAAGAACCTACCACTAGACTTAAGTATTTAATTGAACAGAATAACTAACCTCCTCTTAAGATTTACCCAGGCCTCTATGCTCTCAAATTATTATTCTGTTCCTTCATTTTCTTTTTATTAAAACATGTCCTTGGTCTCTTATTGCTGATGGTGCTCTATAGGCCTGACGTTCATTCTTCTGACTCAGCAGAGACAACCCCCCCCTGAGGTGAAAAGTAACGATGTTGTACTTTTTAAGAGCATTTAAGGGTATATTTACAAGTCTGTAATTCTACATCCACAGGTTTTTAAATAATTTGTTCTTTTGTATTATGTGCAGTACTAATTTCAGGAATGTCCTTCAGCAACACAGAATCTATTCTGATCCATTGGCTTGTAGCTGTGTTCTAATCTTCCTGAGGAAGGAGCAAGTGAAGAACATCTTAAACGGGATGAATAAATTATAACATTATAAACAACCACCAACGGTATTTTCCATGATAAAGCTTTAGACAAGAGTGGTGAGGACCATAAACATCATTTATTAAAGCTCTGCCAGACAGTTTCCAATTACAAAGCATTTAGAGGCAAATGTAAGAATGTAAGATGTTTTAAGGTCTTTTTTATTTTATTTGATTAGGTGATTTTTTTATATTTTTTTGGTCAATAAATCCTCTTAAAAGACCAAAGCTAATAATGAATTGATCCTACTAACAAGTAGGAGAAGTGTGCTATGCTATTTGTACAGTATTGCTGTTCCTGTTGAAGCTAAAATGGCACATTTACAGAGATGCGCACTGACCCTGTAACTTTGAACTGTACAAATTAAAAGTAAAATTAAAAAATATATTGTATGTGTACCCAAAAAAAAAATAATTCAAACACATGAATGAGGCACATTTTTGCACTGGGTGACATGTTTTTTTCATAACGATGATGAACATGGGCAGAGCCCAACCGATATACATTAACCTATCATAGACATATCTATATCAGTAGATATGTCATCCTAGATGAAAACTGTTTTTTGGGGTATATAATGAAAAAGGCTTGTAGTTTTTAACAGTACTGAGCTATTTATTTTTATTTATTCTTTATTTTCTCTTTGATGATTTCTAGAACTTGACAATGTAGCCTATATGTTAAATTATTTAACATGTTAAAGTAAATATTTAACTAACCTATCCTTTAATAAAGTCATATTGGTGCAAAATGTAGTCTATTTTAATTCCAGCTCAAAAATGCACTATATTGGCCGCTATATTGGTAATCTGTGAATTGTATCCTCCTAAAATAGCTCAGTCTTACCTTATCGGTCATGCTCTAAATGGGCAGTGTGGTTGACTTTGAATCGATACTGCATACACCGACCTGTTGCTGTAAACGCTCACTAGCGCACCAAATCCGACGCAGAAAATAGTCCCTAACAAAAACACCATTTGCTCCTGTTTACAGACTATTGCTGGCTTTATCATGTGAGTGACAAAATTAAATTGATGATACAAATTTTGTAAAACTAGGTGAAAAAACAGTTCACAATTAAGTAAGACATTTCAGTATAAATGTATAATATTTTACAGTATATTGTAGTGCCTGTAAACATGTGTGATTTCCTGCCTCATCCAAATTTCTCAAAAAAACAAAACAACTAAAACAAGTGAAACTGATGATCGATGCTTAAGGTGATGACCCTAAAGGTCAAATCTTAGCCAGGGGCAGAAATGACAGGAGGGGGGCAGGCGGAAGACAGCGGAGGGAGAGGTGGCACAAAGGAAGATGGAATGCAACGGGTTAATCTGCTAAGAATCCCTCTCCCACATGAACAAAGGAGAAAAGTGGGAGGTGGGGGGCACACAAAGGGTGACGAGAGGGTGAGGAGGGGGAGGGGAGTACAGAGGGGGGAGTCCATTCCCTAACCATCTGGATCTATTGTTTCAGGAACGGGGGTGAAGGGATGGAGAACTGGAGGAGGGGAGAAGACGGGGAGGGAGGGGTCACGCCCTCAGTGAGTCTGGTCAACCCCAAGGCTGACACTCTGCTAAACCTCCCACCTATGGAAGTCATCTTTTAGGCATGAATGAGGGCAAGTACAATCCATTCAATTAAAATGGGTTTTTCTCGAGTACACAAATGTGTGAATGCTTATTATATTATATTATCAAGTATAAATGAAGTATGATATTTGCTCTTTCACGAACCTTCAGACCATGAAAAGCTCAAATGAAGCCATTGTTTGTGCATATGACGGTAATGAATTATGTAGGGTCGGGATGGACACTAGAGCTCTATCAATGAGCGTGTATGCGTGGGAAGGGGAGGGGGGGGGGTTTACACAGCCTGACATATGTACTCTACAAACTGTTTACACACCCAACCAAAAAAATGCATAAGCTTCCTGTATCAAAACAAAGAAGACAAAACTATTGTTTTTCAGAGGTGGAAAAGGTGACACTCACCACCACCACGAATGGAGGAATCCAGGGGGCTCCCCTAATGTAATATTCTTCTCCCATCGAATCTGGAGGAGAGGAGAGGAGAGGAGAGGAGAGAGAAAAGTCACTTGCAGCCACTAGAGAGGATTATGTCTGCAGGTCCAAGGGTTAAGAACATATAATCAGTCAGTCTCAAACTGTCAATGGCCTCGGACGTGAAGATGGGCACTTTTCTGGCTCTGTTGATCTCCATCTTCCTGACTCTCCTCTTTCTTTTATGTCTATGCCCTGTTTCCCTTTTTAACATTTGAAATATGTTTTGGATAAAGGGTATAGCTGAATCATATATCCACTCATTCATTCACTGCTGACACCCAAAAGGGGCTGTTAGGAGGCTTGGAAATGTATACAAGCAACACAAAGCCCACATACATCTACATACAATTGCATCAGTTGTTTTTGCACCAAGATTCACCATGGCAGACTGTGAGCATGATCTGGGTGTAACTTTATAGGATTTCCTTTTGAAAAATTGATGCAACACCTTACGCTCTGTAATCATGTTTAGCATGTTTGCTCTGACAATACAAGCTGTTGTAAACATCCACTAACACTGGGTTATAGTATGTACAGTTTTTCTAATGAAGAAAGTGATTCCACATTCATAAGTAAACAGTGACGCGTTTCATTTCTTTTTTCATCCATTCTTTATATAAGAATGATTAGCTGTACGTTATAAAAGCAGTTAGTCACGGATGCCATCTTACCTCAGACAGGAAGGTCTGTGCGGACTTCTGTGCTCCCACATGTAGCAGGTACTCGTACACATATAACGCTAACCTGAAATGCAAAGGAAAAAAAATTGTTAGAGGCCAAATTCAGCTTACTTCTCTCTCCACCAATGTAATGGCACAGCGCAAAGCAAAAGGAGACCTACAAGAGTGATTTTCAACATAATATTCCCAGAAACGAGAGGCCCCTTGAGCTAATAGTCAGGAACTATTTGTTAAAGTTGAGTTCTTTCTTTTATGTTTACATTTTTAACCACAGCGGAAAAAACATGAAGGTTAGGTATTAACAGAGCAACAATGGATAAAAAAAATGACTTCAAGGTTTTGCTTGGATAAACAACACAGACTCACGCTGTTCTTTTTAATGTAATGTAATGTGACTATGATGTTTGAATGGATGCTGGAAAAGAGAGCAGAGGTGGAAGGAGTGACTGAACACAGCGAAAAAGTCAACATGTCCGTCTTGAAAGTAGGGCGTATGAGTTTTTTTCTGGTTATTCGGTACAGAAGCTATTGGCACAATTAGCAAATAGAGGGAAAGGTTACACTTCCTTTCCTGCTTGCTGACTTTCTTTATCTCGTTTGTTCCTCAATAAATTGAGCGATCATCTCCATAACTGTCATTTAAACATTACCCACAACCGCCGTTTGCTTGAGGTATGTATGAATGCTGTTCACACGTTTTACAGCGTGTTTGACCAATAAGCAACTTTCAGTAATGTTGCCTTCACTTTGATAGTTCCTGGTTGGTCGTAAAGTACCACCTCAGGAGCAGGCACTGTTTGCTGGGTATAAACCATGACCCAGAAAATAAAATTGGCTCTAGGTTTCTGTGGTTGAAATGCAAGTGAAGCTTCAGAGTATCTCTAAAAAGGTTTCTGAAAATGTTCTTGTACTCCAAAAAGGGCCCCAAAATCCCAGCAGCACCTCTGTGGTCTATATAGTTTTTCCACTACTGGCTATGTGCATTTTACCAAACCTAAGCATTCAAAATCCTCACATCACAACAGAAAGACACCTTCCGACCTGTATGAAAACCACTGTGTTGTGGCTGAACAGACCAGGTACCGACAGGGTTAGGTGCATCTAAAGGGCATTCCCACTAATTCCAACAATATTTTAAAAGCTCTCAGCAGACTTTTTTAAATTACCGCTATTATAACAGGCCAGCTACACTTGATAACGGCAATCCACCAGGGTCTATTAACACACAAGAACCATGCTGTGGAGTGGGAAACCCCCATTGGCCCAACATTGTGCTCCTAACGCCTTCACTTAGTCGTGTTTAATAGGCTGTTAATGGACCATCAATCGACCGGCAGCGTGGATATGACAGTGCCCTGTGTGCCCAGAGCAGACAGTCCTCTGACAGGCCAATAAGGTCCTAATGAGAAGGACAGTAGCTCAGTGTCGTAGTCCCCATCATTAGTCAATGAACTGATCAATGAAACATGGTTTTGAGATAATAAGGCTGTTGTGCAGTTTGTTTTTAAACACCAACAGCCAATTTGATTTTGTAATGCTGTCTGCCATTAAACGGTTTCTGAATGGTTGGATGAAGGTGATGGCTATTTAAGCTCATTTAGTGCATTTAAGCTTCTTAAGATGATATATAGTTGGACAATAAAGAAATTGGATAGGAAGCTGATAAGCGCACTATCTTCATGTTCTAAAGAAATTAAATAGGGTAACTTTTAATAACTGAACTCAATTTGCCAATGCAGAATTTATCTTACGCTTCTGCATCACTAAGGCCTTCAGCGACGAGGTGAGACCTCGGGGTGCAGCTATGGAGAATTATACAACGATCCAAAAAGAAACTATTTTGACAATCGATTAATGACTCCACGTTCACAAATATTTCCTGCTTTTCTTATAAAAAAAAAGTTTGACATTTTTGCTTGGAGAAAACATTCAGTGACGTCATCTTTATAGAGCAAATGATTGAATCGGCAAAATAGTAAAATAACGATATTGAAATAGTTGGAGCCCTAATCACAGCCAAAATTATTTTCAAGGTCCAGTGTGTCCACATTTAGGAGCATCTATTGGCAGAAATGGAATATTCATAGATATGTTATCATTAGTGTATAATCGCCTGAAAATAAGACTCAATGTGTTTTCGTTGTCTAAGAATTAGCTGGTTCGAGATAGAGCCTTTCGTGTTTCAGGAGTAATTTATTCTACATGCTTGGAAGGGTGGGCTGTACTCAAATGCTTGCAGTCTGCAACTTCACCACTAAATGCCCCTCAATCCTACACACTGGTCCTTTAAAGGTTTTTATAGAGTAATAGGGTATGATCAGATGTCTTTCCCAAGGATTTTCTCTACTTTTATGGTTCTACTTTATTAGTTTCTATTTATTGTTGTGTTTTTTATGATTGCATGTATTTTCATTGCGGTGTATATATGCTTTTTCTTTTATTAATACCCATTGAGGAACAACTGTTGCAAATTAGCTTAGGCTATAAAATACTATAATATATGGCATTAGTCTATTCAGTTAATAGTCTATGCTTAGGTATGTGCCCCTATTAAAATAACCATGAATAAATAAATGTGCACAAAGTAAATGTCCACATGGGGCATAGTAAAGCACTGCACACTTCTGTGTGAGGGTCAAGGCTACAATCAACTCATTTAGTTACTATTTCTGCTGAACGCCTTGAATGAAGCTACAGATGAGGCGAGCACATGGGAGCAACAGAAATGGCAGAAACAACTGCTGTAGAGTGTGGCTGACCTGATCTTATTACTAATGTTATGCAAATGTTTCAAAATATGCATTGTTAGTATGTTAATGTAGTCTGTAAAAGATATGAATAGGCAAATAGACAATAAGTGTAGTTTGGAGCCGATGGTCGCTACATGATCACACCTTGTCCTTCACATCGACACAACGCAGTCAGGGGGCATTTTCTAAACATCACCACAGTGGGGGGGGGCAGCTGGCAGATACAAACGCATGCTCCTTAAGAATCTTATGATCAAATGGGTTTTTAACACAGCTAAAGATCTAAATCCGAGAGCAACAAAGTTCTGGCTCGAGCGCGACACAGGATCATTTCAGCTTGGACGTCAAAGCAACGTGCACTCGGCACAGTAACGCTAATGTTACGTGGCGTTGGGTACATGTGATAACACAGTAGGACGATGCTAATCATTTTAGACACAACTATAGATAAACTTTCAAGGGTGCGCGCAACATCCCATACAACATCTAGACTGCACACTGCTGGTCATTATGAGTGCTCTGTGGTCATGACCCTCCTGACGCTACTGAGCATAGGTTGGACCACACTTTATTCAACCCGCTCTGGTGTTAGGTTATGGGTAGGAATTCAATTAAAGTTACTGACATTGGGAGATCACTTTTCTGAAGAAAAGAAGAGAAGTAAAGAGTGCAAAAGAGAGCGAGAGAGAGCGAGCATCCAGAGAGAACAGAAACTGAAACTCTGCTTGGTACATGTAACGTAATTCTTTCTTCTATTCCTTATCTTTAAACATGCACCGAAGCAAAGATGTCGACACGAGCCTCGTTGAACGTTGCCGACCGCAGATTAAAGTGTGACGCGTCTAATACCACGAATGGGTTAACTGCGGGTTGAGCGTGCATTAAGCAGACCTACACCTTGCGTACAAAAGTGATCACAGTTTCAATGTGCAGTGCATCTCTTGGTGTACAGCAGTCCATCCTGCTTGGAAGGTAATAAATAGCCATGGGTGTTCCCCTCTCGCAGATAGTCACCGAGATAAGAGAACATACATGCGCAGGCAGACATTCAGACACCCAGATGAACAAACAAACAAAGCAGAGGCGGCCTTGAATGCAAAACTTCCCGGTGTGATTTACACTGGTTAATTTGATTCAACTCTAAATGAATGTATCACACTGCACAACAATAACATAAGACAGCAAGAACACATCCTGACTGCATCCACTAGCCTAACTCCACGCACACAGTGGGACGCACACAGTGGGA